GTATATAATGCAGTTGGACAACAGTTGGGTAGAGAATAGAAGGTAGTAGGTCTAAGTTTTAATTTTCTGGTTTGTTAAAGCATGGTAAATATAATAGAAATTAATTGGTGCACTATAGCACAATTATTCGTATAGTCATAAATTATGGATAACACTGTCTTTTATCTAGCAGAAAGAATGTTGGGATTTACTTAGATTTCTTTGCATAATATAAATACAAATTTTGCAAAGTTGAATTTATGAAATCTAGAAAAATTGACTTGTAGAGGAGTACCTTTAATTTGGGTGGATGATTACTGGTTGCTACCCAGAACTTTGGTGATTTTTGCTTTTCTTTGCCTTCTATTTTTAGTCTTTTCTTGACCTTGTATATCTGTGTTGGTTTCATTATATGCAGGTGTGTGATATAAGAGTGGCATATGTCAGGTGTAATTGTGTGCTAAAAATAAACCAAGGAAAAAGATTGAGATTGGCTGAAAATAGACCTGCCATTTGATCCTACAATTCCTCTACTAGGTATATATCCAGAAGACCAAAAATCACATTATAACAAATATATTTGCACCAAAATGTTTATTGCAGCCCAATTCATGATTGCTAAGTCATGGAAGAAGCCCAAGTGCCCATCGACCCATGAATGGATCAATAAATTCTGGTATATGTACACCATGGAATATTATGCAATCTTAAAAAAGATGGAGACTTTACCTCTTACGTATTTACATGGATGAGCTGGAACATGCTCTTCTTAGCAGAGTATCTCAAGAATGGGAAAAAAAGTATCCAATGTACTCAGTCTTACTATGAAACCAATTTATGGCTTTCTTATGAAAGCTATAACCCAATTATAGCCCCAAAAGAAGGGGAAAGGGAAGAGGCCAGGGAGGGGAGGGGGGAGGATGGGTGGAGAGAGAGTAATTGGTGGGACCACACCTATGGTGCATCTTACAAGGGTACATATGAAATTTACTAGGTGTAGAATATAAATGTCTTAACATAATAAGAAAATGCCATGAGGGCTATGTTAACCAGTTTGATGAAAATATTTCAAGTTGTATATAAAATCAGCACATTGTACCCCATGATTGCATTAATGTACACAGCTATGATTTAATTTAAAAAAAAAAAAAGAAATTCTACTTCCCAAAATTAAAACTAGGTTTCTGGGGGTGGGGGGAAAGATTGAGATTGGTTTGTTTTAAAGGTTGCAGTATTTTTCATAGCTGCATAGTACTCTTTTGTATATATGAATCTCCTTGTTTGTATTTAAATATTCTATAATTACAAATAATCCTTTAATGAATAACTTTATGTGTGTATTTGGTGTTTGAGATATATCTGTAAGATAAATATCTTTGAGATGTAATATATATTTGAGATATATCTGTAAGATAAATTCCCAGAAGTGGGCTTTTTGGGTTAAAGGGAAAACATACATGGAGTTTTGTTAGATGGTCCCCAGTTCTTCTCCTTGGGGCTTTGTCATGTTACATGATCACCAGCAGTATTTGGGAGGGCCTGAGTTTTCACAGCCTTGCCAACAGAGTGTACATGTTACCAAAGCTCAGCAAAGCCAGGAGGTCATTAAAGTGGTAGGGATGGATTTTAATCAGTAGTATCCTATTGCAATAGGGAAAGGAGGCCAGGGTGAACTGAACTGAACCTTGATTTGTACAAAGGTGACTAAGGCATTGTAAAGGAAGAATGAGGGACTGGAGATGGAGTGAATGGGGCTTAGTAGGGTCAGAGAAGTGAAAAATGACTATAAACAAGATGGTGGGTGGTCCATATGCAAGCCATCTGGGCTTACTACCTGGCACTTATGGTTAGGCTCCTTACCCTCCCACAGTGGCTGGGCTCTATCTTCAGGTGATGATTGAAACAAACAGTGAATTCTTTCAGTAGCCTTAGACACTTTAAAAGGGTCTAGGATCATGCTAAGGATGTGGCCTTGAGCCATTGGAAACCATAATAATGTTTGTTCAATGTTCAAGTCTTTTTAGGCCAAGATTCAGGCCTAGTTGAGGACTCAGAGGAGCCTGGCTAGAGTTTGATAAAGGAGAAAATCTTTGTCAATGGTCAGCTTTAAATTTTTATCCATCTGATGAGTGAGAATTTTTTCTTAATATAGTTTTAATTTATATTTTTCCTATTAAAAGTAAAGGTGAACGTGCTTTTTTGTTTAAGGGCCATTTTTATATCTTTGCTTATATAAGTATGTTCATGTGCATTCTTCAAATTTTTCTATAGAATTTTTGGTCTTTTCCCCCCACACTTTTGAGTTTTTTAGAAATGTAGGATATGAGCTCTTTATTGTAAATGTATGTTTTAAATGTTTTTCACCTTTATCATTTATCTTTTGACTTTGCTCATGGTGTTTTTTGCTGTACAAATTCTGTTTTTTTTAAATGTATCAAATTTATTTTTATTACTTCTGAATTTTGAGTTGTAATTAGAAAGCTGTTTTCTATATCAAAGTTGGAATAGGATTGATGCATAGTTTCATCTAGTGCTAGTATAGTTTTTTTATATTTAGATCTCTTATTTGGAGTTTATTCTTGTATGTTATGGGGGGGTCTGATTTTGTCTTTTTCCAACGGACTATCGGTTGGCTCATCATTATTTATGAAAAAAGACTGTTTTTGCCTAAGTGATGTGAGATATCGTCTAATCATACACTAGATTTTTTTTTTTTGTCACCCTCACTAGAGTGTTGCGGCATCACAGCTCACAGCAACCTCAATCTCTTGGGCTTAAGTGATTCTCTTCCCTTAGCCTCCCAAGTAGCTGGGACTACAGGCGTTGCCACAATGCCCGGCTGATTTTTGTTGTGGTTGCCACTGCTGTTTTAGCTCGCGTGGGCTGGGTTTGAACCCTCCACCCTTGGTATATAGGGCCGGCACCTTGCCCACTGAGCCACAGACACCGCCCCACACTAGATTTTTTTTTTTTTTTTAATGAAGATGGATCTTCTGGACTTGTTTATTGATTTCAGTAAATTTATAAATTTGTTAGAAGTGACATTTTGATGCTGTTGAGAATAAGGGATGGCTTTCCATTTGCTCAAGTCTACTTTTACGTGTTTCAGGAGTATCTTATGGTTTTCTTTATAGGGTTTTTGATCATTTCTTAAATTTATTCTTAAAAATTTTATCTCTTGTTATTGTAAATGAGACTTTCTAATTTAGTGTATCTTCTAAATAGTTATTATTTGTATATGAATGCTGGGTTTTTTGCATGCCAATTTTATAACCTGCTACCTTGCTGAATTCTTTTATTGTTTGAGTTAATTTTATCATTGATTCTCTAGGACTTTCCAGGGATATTATTATGTCATTACAAGATAGAAATAGTTTCATTTCTTCTTTTTTTAATTCTTTGCTTCTAATTGTTTTCTAAAGTCTAATTGCATTGGCTGGTATCCCAGATCATTATTAAACAGTGATGGAGATTACAGGAATCTTTTCTTTGTTCCTGACCACAGTAGTTATGTCTTAGAGTTTTTTCATCTTAAGGAAAGTATCTGTTCATTCTTATTTTTTTCATGTGTTTTTTTTATTAGAAATGGGTGTTGAATTTTGTCAAGATTTTTTTTTTCCCAGTTTCTATTGAAATACTTATTTTTTTTTCCTTAAACTTGTTAATAGGGTAAATTATTTTAATTTCTATAAGATTAAACCATTCTAGCATTCTTGGCATAAACCCTACCAGGGTAGTGTATTTCCAGAGCTTAATTTCCTTATTATACTATTTCTAGTTTAGTTTCAAAGATTTGGTATGCTTATTTAGAAGGGTATAAAGTCATATAAGCTAGTATTTGTTTTAATTACTAAATGAATGTTTTGGTAAATGAGTTTCAATGAGGGAGAGATCATTATGGGGTGAGAAAGCTTTCTTAAAGAGTGGGGACCAGTACTAACTGTGATATCCTGCCCACTACACCACAGCTGTCTTGCTGTCTTTTATTTCTTCTAGCTGTTTGTCTTGAAGGGCTTACTTACACCAGAGTCTAGCCTTTCAGTGTTTTATTAGTATAATCATTTGTGGTGGATTGATTACAAACTTAAGACATGCTGGAAAATCTCAAGTGATGGAGGAAACTCTATATTATGATAAGTGGGAAGCCTGCAAAATGGAATAGAAAAAAGAGGGCAGAATGGTGAGCTATTTGTTCTTAGAAAGGAGAGGGAAAAAATTCACAGAGAAGATGTGCGATAATATATGTTTCATAGCCTTATTTATGTAAAACATCACTTTAAAAGATCATTGTCCGATTTAGTCTACCTATCAGGGGTGTGCAACCTTTTTTCTTTCCTGCTGCACATTGGAAAAATAAGAGTTGTCTTGGTGTACACATTAAATACACAAAATACTGACTAAGGCTAATTAGCAAAAATAAAAATGGTCTGTGCACAGTTTCCATGATATCTGACACCACAGATATGCAAAAAAGTCCTCAACAAAATTAGTATACCGCTCATGGACCAGAGGTTGGATACCCCGGAATGACTTAAGGAAATTAGAGATTGTCAAAGGTGTTTACGTTATTTACACAAATGAAAGGAGTGAGTTGTAAATCCCACCTCCTTTTTTGCAAGTTCTGACTCAGGTCCAAGGATAAATATAAAGCCGTGTTTGCATGCTTAGAAGCATGTCTTTGAAATAATACTTTCTGAGGAGTTTATGTTGCTGTTCATGAGAACACTTAATAATTCAATAACTTCTTGTAGACTTTATGGTTCTGTGACTACAATTTGATTCACAGCATATAGACTGATATCCCTAATGAGTACTAAAAAGCCATGTTGAAATGGGAATTACTTGAAATAAATTTTCTTAGCATGGAGTTTTCTCTTTAGAAAAAAGATACATCACTTGAAGAAATTTTCTTAGTTATCTGTGATTTTTGAATAAATTTAATACCATGTTTTATTGTAACTGTAACTAACTGTTGAAGTAAACATAGTGATTCAAAAGCTGGCTCTGCTCATTTTCTTCAGCACGTCACACCAGACAGCTATATCCCATGCCTTGCAGACCTGTGCAAAGCTCTGTGGGAGGTTATGCTCAGCTATTACAGAACTATGGAGTGGCATGAAAAGCATGACAATGAGGATACTGCTTCAGCTTCTGGTAGGAAATTATTTTGATTTTATTTTGAAAATTGAATTGTCAGTATACAGCACTAGCCACGCAAGAAGAAAGAAGGTCAGGCGTGCCTGTACGTTTTCAGGGACCGTAATGACTGGTGATTAAACCTTCAGCAAAATGGTCTAGCTATTGTAGAAGCTCCATTACCTTTGGGGGTTAACTGGGCCAAAGGAGTGGCAGATAGTGTCTGTTTCCAGAGTGTGTGCTGAGGGCCTTAGGGCTGAATTATTGACAAGGAACTTCATTAAAAAAAAAATTATTTCTTTAACATAATTAGTTGCAAACCAAGTAAGACATTGATCTGTACAAATTTAGAAATTAATGTTAGATGCTCAAATTTAATCTATTTTGCTAATTTTCTAGTTGGACTAATAATGCTAGATTCTATGAATTAATAATTATATTAATAGTTTCCATCCTGAAAATACAGCATTTTTTTCATTAAACAGTGTTTTAAAATCTTCATGCTTGAATGGAAAATATAATTTTAAATGACTGTGTTCTATAGTTAGCTGTATAATAAAAATAAGTCTTTGGGAAATTATTATGTTTATTAGGTATTCTATTTAAATTGCTTCATTTGCATAATTATATATCTTAAGTAATTATCCTTGAACAGTAGCTGAGATTGAGTATTCAGAATAATTTTGAAAGCGGTAAATAATTTTATCAGCATTTTGTTTAATGTGAGCACAGTAAGTTTCATTGTATAAAGTTTTTATATCACATACACTTTAATGTAGCTATTCAATCAGATAATTTTAGTCACTTCCAATTTCTGAATTGCTTGGTTTCTGTTGTTGGGCAGGTGGAAGAAAGACCCAAATCTTAACTATTAATGTAAAGTTTTGGTAGCTCTGAAGAGAGTTTAATCTTCATGTTGACTCACTCATAAGAAGCTCATGAATACAGAAATTAAAAAAAGAGGAAAATATTATGGATAGACTTCATCCATGTAGAAATATTGTTGGGGAGGGTGAAATCAGGGAGAGAAAAGAGGAGAAAGCAGAAATTGGGGAAAGCACTCAGCCCGGATTCCAGTCCAGATGGGTTTTACCTATACTCTCTCTGGGACCATGGGCTTTGCAACCTGAGGGCTTCAAGTTTTTGCCATTTACTGAAGGTGAGAACTTGGAAAAAAATTCCTTTATCTTTTCTAGTCTTCAGTTTGCTTCTTAAAATGAGAGGCTAAAAAACAAACAAAACCCCCCATAGAGTAGTAACACATCCACCTGGCCGTGTTGCTGTAAAGTTTAGAGAGAATATAAAGTGCTTACCTTGGTGGTTATTAATATCCTGAAAGGAAATGGATCAGTAGATAATTATAACAGTGAGGTGCCTGAAGGTTCCCCCCCCCCTTTAAAAAAAAAATCTCTGGTTACTTGGGGTAATTCCTAGAGTCACTGGATTGCAGTTTTTCTACAAAGAGCTTTTCTTGTTTTCTCAACTTTTATATTTTTTCTAGATGGAGATAATGAATACCTTATTTAAGGAGAAACCAAAGGACAAGTTTAGAATAGAATTAACACATACTTTCTGTATAAGAATTTTATCTCTATATTCATCTTGACGAAGTTCGCTTTTTGCGTTAGGCCAGTAATTTACAACCATTTGAGTACGGAGTCAAACTTAAGATTTCATTTGAGCCTTATATACTATCTTAGTCCTTTTTAGTAAGATTCCTTGCCAATAATCTGTATATTTTATAAATATTCAGGTATTCTGATTAGTCCAGCAGTCACTTGATAGTATCTAGGACTCATTTGTCACCTGAAATTAATCCTTTCATATTCATATCTAGGTATTAAATTGTATGAATCAGTAATTTAAACATTATTCTTCACAGAACTTCACAAAGCTGAAGACCACTAGGATTCATCTACTATAGCTCTGTAGTGATAATGTTTGATATTATTTGGTATTCTGTCCCTTTACTGTTCTAAAATAAAACTCTAAAGCTGTAGTTCAGATGCACTGCCTCAGGCTGTTGGGTCTCTAACATACCAACAGCCATACCCTGCATATAATGAGGCTTAAGCTCCAGGATTGCTCAGAGGTAAACTAGTCATGTATCTGGGTCCTGGCGCTTGCAAGGGTCTTTTACCAGTTAACAATGGATGCCCTACTGGCTTAAAAGGAGATGGTAACATCCTGATTAACATTCACTGTGTTATTCACACAAAGTTGTAATCTTTTTAATATGAATGTGAATGTAGAGTTTTAGTTGTTTTTAGAGAGAAATGTGTTTTAACGCAGATCATTGATTTTACCCACTGAACTGGACATTTGTTAGATTATTTTTCTGGAATGGATAAAACTATGTATATCATGAAAAATATAAAAATAAATGGATGTATATTACATGACTGTCTAAGCCAGGGGTCCTTAAACTTTTTAAACAGGGGGCCAGTTCACTGTCCCTCAGACCATTGGAGGGCTGGACTTTGGGCCCTGGAGGAGTTGGCTGGTAAGCAGGACAGACAGTGGTGGCAAAAACACCCAGCAGGCCAGATAAATGTCCTAGGCAGGCTGCATGTGGCCTGTGGGCTGTTGTTTGAGGATGCCTGGAGCAGTTGTGCAATCTGTACTCTTATCAGCATGCATATTGATTGATAATTGGGTTAATTGGCCCTGTAATGCTCTGGCAGCCTGTTACATGGTCTTACATTGGGCATTATATGGACGTTGAAACCTTGTCTCTGGGACCACACTGACTGAGTTGGAATGCTAAGCTCCAGTCGTATGAGCTGAGTGCTGTTTGGTATGTTCAGCATTTCATGGTCTTATCAGATGGGTTCAATCCTAATACTATTTTTTAATATTGCTTTGACTAATATTGTTATAAATATTGAACATATTTTCTGTTTCTTACATGTACTTATAATATATGAGGGGTCAAACAAATTATTTGGAAAATAAATACATGTTGAAGAAAATTGAAAAATCTTTTTTTTTTCAGAAGGAAGTAATATGGGTACTGAAGAAACTAATTTTGATCGTGGTTATATAAAAAAGAAGTTAGAGCATGGGCTTACACGAATATGGCAGGTTTGGTTTTTTAAAATTATTTTTTCATAGAAGTAATAGAAACCTTCACGTCAAAGTTGTTTCAGAAATTGAGTTTTTACATTTTCTATATTTGTATTCTTTGCAGATTTAATCATATGTTAGTTTTTCTATGGAACAAGGCTGTCATTGAATTTAATTTCTGTAATGTAGTTGGCAATTATATTAGACTATAAGTAGCAGTAGACAAAGTCTTTTAATTTGAAAATCTTCATTGAACATATTTTATATTCTTTGATTACATTTTTGTTTTGAAAACCTGTCAGGGTTCCTGGAGGGCCCTGACCTGGATTGGGGGTTGACAGGGAGATGTCACTGGGGAAATAATGAGACTTTACATCAACTTAACATATAGTCTGGTTAGCCTGGATTGATGTACATTGACTCACATGTCAAGTGGCAGATTGAGACAATGCATTATTCCTCTAACTCCTCTGAAACCTTTTATTGATCTCTAAGACAAAACATTTGTGAAATGAAGCAAAAGTGTCAAAATTCAAAAAATAGAATTAAAAGAATCCCAAGCCTGCAGAATATTGGGTAAAAAGGAACTGGCTGGCTAATTGGGAACATAGGGTAATAAGTTGTCAACAATGACATTTAGAAAGGAGGAGGGTAAAACAAGTATTGACTCTGTAGAGTGGGCAAACCAGTTTCCCTAATCTAACTGTCGATCAGGAGTTCAAAGGGCTCAGCCCCCTCCACTTGCTGATTCTCTGGCCTGGGATGGTCTTTTGTGGTCTTGATAAGGGGCCCCCAGGGATGCCTGCCTTCGTGCTTTACTCTGGATTGAGCCACTGGCAAGGATGAGCCTGTCTGCCTCCCACAAACACCTACCCAATTTGTGTTTTCCTAAAGAAATTCATGCTTTCTTATTGAGATGGTCTACTTTTATTTCATTTATTGGTGGTTTTTAAATTTCCTTTCTATTGATTTTAGGAAAAGAATAAGGTAGGTGACATAAAAGGGTCAGAATCTAGTATGATATGAGAAATGTTTTCTCAGTCAAAGATCTTTTTGCCTTGAAGAAATCTTGTATGTTTACTGGCTGAATACATCTGTTTTTAGTCTATTGGGCTGCTGTAACAAAATACCCTAGACTGGGTAGCTTATAAACAATGTGAGTTTACCTTTCACAGTTCTGGAGGCTGGAAACTGGAGATCAGGGTGCCAGCATGGTTCGGATCTGGTGAGAGCCCACACCCTGGTTCACAGATGCTACCTTCTTTCTGTATCCTCACCTAGTAGAAGGGATGAGGAAACTCTCTGGGGTCCCTTTTACAAGGCACTAAGCCCATTCATGATGGTCCTACCCTCATGGCTTAATCACAGCACAGAATCCCTAAGTCCTAATACTACCATCGTGGGGTTTAAGATTTCAACATGAATTTTGGGTGGACACAAACATTTAGATCATAGCAGTGTCTTCTTAAGCTTTCTTTGCAATTCAGTAGCTCAATTGTTATAATAAAGTAATTTGTTAAAATTTGTTACTTAGATCAAAATATAAATTCTTGATGATAACATTATTTTTAGACTTGTTTGAACCTTGAAAGACTGTAGACCCTTTGACTATGTTATGGCTTTTTCAAAAGCAAAAATGTTTCTAATTCGCGGATTTTTAGATTGACCATCTTTTATAGGATTTCTTTGAAAAAAATTATTTAGGAAAATATATCCTGAGAATAGAAATTTCCTCAAGAATCACTTTAAATTTATATTAAAGTGTTCTTCAAATTTTTTTGTTTGTTTGTTTGTTTGGTTTTTTTTTTGAGATGGAGCCTCAAGCTATCCCCCTGGGTAGAGTGCCATGGCATCACGCTCACAGCAACCTCCAACTCCTGGG